GCTGCGCGGCGGCCCCGAGCCATCTGTTGCTGGACTACGACGGGTCGGTGCTGCCCTTCCTCGGGGGCCTGGGCGGGGGCTTCCAGCGGACCCTCGTGCTGCTCACCTGGATCCCCGCGCTGTTCATCGGCTTCAGCCAGTTCTCGGACTCCTTCCTCCTGGACCAGCCCAACTTCTGGTGCCGCGGGGCCGGCAAAGGCTCCGAGCTGGCGGGGGTCACCGCCACCGGCCGCTGGAGCGCCGGCGACTTGGCCAACTGGACCAGCCCCCCGCCCGCCCCCTTCTCCACTGCCGCCTGGGGCGCCGCGGGCAACCTGAGCAACAGCAGCGAAGGGTACGGGGGCGACACGCCACCCCTGCCGTCCCCGCCGGACCAGGAGGACAACGCCTCCAGCTGTGACTGCCACGCGTGGGACTACGGCATCCGCACAGGCCTCGTCCAAAACGTGGTCACCAAGGTAAGGCCGCGTCCTTGTCCCGAGCCCTTGGGGCGCCGCCGCGGGCCCGCCTGCCCTGTGGCCCCCCGCCGAGCAGCCCTGGCCCCCCAAGCCCCCAGGGGGTGCCAGCCTGTGTGCGCGGCGGTGGCTCGTGTCCTGCGGCCCCTGGGCTGGAGGCGTTTACTTGGGTATGAAGCGAGGGCTTTGTGCGGCCTCTGCGGTGGCATGACAGGTCCCAACTCTTAGGGCACTTTGCTTGCAAACTCCTGTCCCAGTGCACGATGGAAAGGGCGCCCCACCCCCGCCCCAAAACAAAACCAGGAGTTTCCTTCCCTCACCCTTGCAACGGTCACGCTCTTCCAGGCCAGGATGGCGGCAGGACAGAAGGCGGCTGACCTGTCACCAGCCAGGCCGGGAGGATTGGCCTCCCTGTCTGGCGGTGAGGATGGTGTGCTATTCCCAGATGTTCCTCCTGGCAGCCCTCAGCCCTCCTGGGCTGGGTTTGGAGACAGATTAAAGAACCAGAGTTGCAACCAGAGAAGCAAAGAGCTTTTGAAATCCCTTTCCCCTCCCCAGCTCGGTCCCTTCCAGAGACTCCGACTTTGCCACCCGAGTGCTCCCTCCAATGTCTTCTCGGGACTTTGTAGTAAACATCACATGAGTAGAGGAAGGAGGCTAAGCTTGTGCTTGGGTTACCGAACTACCTCTGTGCTGACTAGCAGCTGCATTTGTCCCGGGCTTTGAGACCCTGGGGCGCTCCCCCATGGTGACACTGGCTGCAGCCCGCGGCCACCCTCAGCAGAGGTGTTGTGTTTTGTGTTGTGTGAGGTGGAGCAGGTGTGTTTGCTGAGCAGTGAGGAGAAAAGAGGCCAGGAGAAAGAGGGGGTGCCTGAGCCATCTACCTAGTGCCTGGGTTTCTTAACACAGGAGAGTGTGCCAGAGTGTCAAGCCATCTGCCTCCGTTGCCCCTTCTGTCTTTTAAATAACCAGTTTGTATCGCCAAGTCCATGGAGTCCCTCCTCCACGTCTGGGCAGGTGAAATGCTCTGTTTAAATGTGAGGCTGAAACGTGGCAGCTTAGAATAACTGGGGTGCATGTGCATCCCCGTGTGTTAGTAAACAGTGCGGCTCCTGGGTGTGTAAGATGAAACTCTTACATCATCATAACCATTGTTACAATCTTGTACCAGCCTGGCTGGCGAGTCCTGGGGGACCGTCTGGATCGGCTGTTCCTGGGGACCATCCTTGCGGCTTGACTCCCCCAGCAGGCTGTACCCCGCCAGCCGTCCTTTCCAAAGGTGCCCCTTCCTCTGACGGGGTCTCATCAACGGAGCGCAGTGCAGGGAAAACTGAAGTACAGTGATTATTTTAATATCCACGGTGTATCTGTGGATTTGTCCATATTCTCAAATTCTGTTGGCCCCTTTTTAAAATAGAGGAGTTAGCACACAGGCCAAAACCAGGGTGTGCAGAGGACACTTGTCTGACCGCGGGGTGGGAGGGGAGGTGAACTGAAAGGGAGGAGGTGGGCGAGGGGGCCTTGTCTGCGGGCAGAGCGCGGGTAGCTATGCGCGCTCAGCTGGGCCTTGCGTGGGCGGAGAGACTGACTTAGCCCGTGTGCAGGAGGCATCCTTAGCACCACCAAGACAGGGTCACTGAGGCATCTTTCCGGGGAGCTCTCTCCATCACGCTGCCAGCTCTCGGGGTCAGACAGGGAGGTGAAGTCTTCGGGACAACAGTGAGAAATGCATTTTATGTCAGATAAAGACTAGCAAGGACATCTTGATTTTCACGCACAAATGAGGTCTTAATAAAGGACTTTGCTTCCACCGTGTTCTTGTCCATAAACAAATGCTTTCAAGAGCTCTTGAAGCACATTCTGGCTTGCACCAGACAGTCTCCCGGCCCTGTGTACTTTGGAAACTGTATCAGATGCTCAGATATGGAATGTATACTATGTTGGTGCTGGATTCTTGGGTCAGGTGCCTGCTGCTCCTCCCAAGAGGAAGCAGGAGGGAAAGGTTTCGCCTGGGTCAGTGGATGAAAGTTCAGGGTCAGAGAAGCTTCCCTCTTCCTCCTCCTCCCCAGATCTGCAAACAAGGCCTCAGACCGTGTTTATTCTGTGGCACATGTGATGGGTGGTGACTGGGTGGGGTGCCGACGGATAACCGGGCACCTCTATCCCAGAGCTTACCCTGTGCCCCATGGCACACACAGAACTACACATCTGCCCTACACGTAGGCGCTGTGTCTATCATAGCATGTACACGGTGAATCGATGCTCGGTATAAACGCACTCCCTGTGCAGAGAGGGGCATAAGTGTATGATAACGTCTATATAGTACATGCTTTTTATTGTGTAGCCTGTTTTATATACTCTCCTGGTCCCTCTGCCCCCAACTCTAGGAGAAACAGCCAAACCGGATCCCAGGTTTTATGTTAAAAGGGATCTTAGGACTGACAAGCCTTTCTCCCCTCCTGAATGACACCCAGACCTGAGTTCCCTTGTTGGACGGGGCAGGGAGGCCCACGAGCTAGGCCACCCCCTACAGGGAGGCAGGTTTGGGGGAGACCACAACTCTGGTTATTTCATGTGGATTTGTGTGGCTTCTTGGCGTCTTCTCTGTCTGACACAAAGTCAGGTCTGTGAGGGTGCCTGGAAGCCCTCCGGGGTGGGGTGCGGGCAGGGTGCAGCTCCTCATCCAGAGAAGGACGATCCCTGGGCACGATGCTTCCAGGAGCGAAGCCCCCGCTGTGGCAGGAGACGCCAGGGAGAGCAGACGGCCAAGGCTCCAGGTTGGCAAATGAGGCTTCCTGACCCAGGGCCTCTCACCTGGCTGGTGTCCAGTTGCTGGGTCTCGCCTCCGGGACCTTGTAGGGTCTTCCTCATCCCGGCACCTCCTCTGCTGTTCTTTCGTCTCTGTAGGTTTTTGTTTTGTCTTGGTCCCTGGTGTTTTTTCATCTGTTCCAGAATTTGCGAAACCCTCAAAATCGTCACCGCCTTCGCCTTTCTTCCGGGCAGCCCCGTGAGGTTTTCACGTATCTTACTTCCCTTGGTTGGGCATGTCGAGTCTTAACATTGAGCGTTTTCTGGGATTTTCGACCCAAACACGCGCGCATGCACTCAGCCATGTGTTGGAACAGGGTGCGTGTCTCGAGCCTGGTGAAAGTCGTCACCTGCCTTTCGTCTCCAGCCGAGTCGAAAGGTACTGTCCGTGCCTTCCTGAAAAGAAGAATCGAGCGAATTCCTGGACGGTCCCCCCAAGGCAGCCCTGGGGAGCAGAGCCCCATGGGTCGCCGCCGGCACCCCCAGCCCGCCAGGCACCACCCGGGCAACCCGGTGCCCCTGTCCTGCTGAGATCTGCCCCACTGGGCTATAAAGAAACAAGGCAGCTGACTGGAATGCAGCCTCTCTGTCTTTACTTGTCCCACATTGTCCTTAGTGAAGCCTCGTTGGTGGCTTACACTCACCACCTCCATGCATAATCCCGAGAATTTTGCCAAAAACCAAGGTCAGGCAAACATTCTAAACCCAGCCTTTTCTGTAAAGGACACTTGGGAGTTTTGTCTGGCTCCTGGCTTCTTGCTATTTTGTCTGTTCTCCATAAATGCGCAAAGATCACTGGTTTTTTTTTTTGTTTTTTTTTTTTTTTTTTGTTGCTGTCCATACACCTGAGCATTGTTTAACTATCCTGGGACGTATTAGTGTTCCTTTTCTGGGACTCAAGACTAGAAGTTATTTAATGGGAGTACAATCTGGTTAGGATTAAAAATAATTACAATCTCGGGACCTCCCTGGTGATGCAGTGGGTTAAAGCGCAGCACTGTGAAGCCACTATAGCCACTCAGCGAAAGTTCAATCCCCGGCCAGGGGGCTGACCCACAGGGCGCGGCAGACCTCCCCTGACCCGCCCGCTGCTCCCCTCAGCAGTGTACTTCATCGATCTGCCCGTTCTGCTCCCCACTTGGTCTCTGGTGACTCCTCTCACCGCCCTGCCCCTCCCCAGCTCTGTGTGCATAAAAGTAAATCTTTAAAAATAAATAATAATAGTTACAATCTCACTGCAGTAGTAATAGCAGCAGCATAGCCTGGCATTCGGTCATCCTAGTGACTTCTTGCTTTGTGTGGTGTATGCAACACCGCAGTGAACATCTTCTTGCCTAGTAGGTAATATTGGCCCATGGCAGACAGCAGACAGTGAGGGTAACATTCTTGCCAACTCTGCCTGCCGTTTTCTTCAGAAGCAACCATGGTTACCAGCTTATGTACCCTTCCAGAAATATTCTCAGTATATTTTCACTTATATATTTGTCTCTCGCCGTGACATAATATATTCGCTGGTTTGTGCCTTTCCCCCTCATAGTGGGGGTGGATGCTTAGCAGACCCCCAGCGCCCCTGTGTCGGGGCGGGACATCAACTCCATGTAATTGATTCTTTGGCGGGACATCAACTCCATGTAATTGATTGAACCAGTCACCCACTCCAGGGTCATCTTGTTTGGTTCCAGTCTTGGCTGTGACATGATCTGCGGGAAATCCTGGCAGTCACGAAATTCTTAGAAGCTTGGTGGGGGGGGGGGGGTCAAAGTAGGCTGCGTTCAGCTACTTAATGCTGATCGATGTGCTCAAGTAGACCTCCACACGGGCCTCATCGCGTGGCCTGGGCCCACATCCTCCGAGCCGGGAGTCCTTCTGCTGTCAGATGTCTCCTGGTTTGCTAGGTGGGAACTCGACTTGGTAGCTGTTGTAATTTGCATGTCTTGTTGGGAGGGAGATTCTACACTCCTCTGACATTTTGGAAGTGTGTTTCCTTTTCTTTGCTCTGCCTCTCCGTCGCCTTTGTGGATTGCCTGTGTGTGCATGTGTGTATGTGAAAGGGGGTGTTATGTGGTTGTGATGTGTAGAATAGCTTCACACAAGAGTGGTTTCACACAAGTGTGTTGTTGTTTGGCAGAAGCTTTGGGTATGCCGACGGTCAGCACGGATTCATCTTTTCTTTCCTGGTTCCTGGGTCTTGTGTG